AATTTGACTGTGTCTGTCAATCCAATCCCATAATTCTTCATTTATATCTAAAAAATCTGATTGATCATGCTTCTCAACGTATGTTGTAATAACTGGATAACCTTAATATTGTTATGATCCCAACGTTCACAAAATCGCTCGCTCACATGTCTGAAATTATGACGTCTAATATTCTCATCCATAACAGTAACTTTTCCATTAATACTTCCAAAGTGGTTACCATATGTAAATGCATTTAATTCGATACTTGCTAACTTCTAGAAAGTGATGATATACTCCACTCAACTGGATTATATGCGGATTACCCTAGAGCATGTGTTCAAATTGTGAGGTAGTCTAAGTTAATTTTTTTAAAAAGCAATAAGTATTTTAATGAACCGGGGATTCTCATCTGGCTCGCCATCCGTTAATAAGTATCAAAATGGTTTTACAGAGCCTTCTTGATATGTAAATTCATGAAAGGATACTTCCTTTATAATTGACATTTGGTCTAACATTTATGTCCTGCATGATGTGTCCAAAAAAGGTTCAGGACGAATAAATATTCTTATTTTACCAGAACGCAATAAACTATTCGTATTAAAAGGGTCAATCATTAGATATACGGATGGTATCAATTTATATTTCACAGCTTTTGGAAAATCGTGGTCTGAAACTGATACTAGTTCGTTTGTTGTTTGTATGGTTTTAAAAGTTCTTCCAACTGCAGCTACACCAAAAAGAACCTCAAACCCAAAATTAAAAAATAGAAGCTTATATTGAAGAAAAGATTGCAAATAAATAAACAAATACCTTGGTTTTATCATTTTGCGAGATCAATACAACTTCTTTAGAAAAAGCTAACGCGAATGATTTTATACCCTTAATTGAAGCTAAACAATAATGTTTATCAATGTGACTGGACATCTCATTTCTTTCAACAGATACCAAACTGATTTGTGTGAAATGATGATGTGGTTGTACTTCTCTCATTTCTGGGTATCTAGGTTATATATAATTCTGCACGGTAGACTTTGCCATATAAACACTATATTTCTCTTCCATCTCTTCATGAAGGTGTTTGACGGTTCGAACTTTAATTGTTTCCTTTCGTCTTTTATAATCTGCAGCTTCAAATTCGATACTACTATGCATTTTATCCAAAAGTTTAGGATCATTTATCAAGAATGATGGCTGATCTGATGCATCATACATTTCGACAATATTCTCTTTATCCAATTTTTCTCATTTTTTATTTCAAGCTCATTATTGAGCTTTTGTGTTACCCTTCAACTTCTTAAGTTTTCTTTCTTCTAACGCAACTGTTTTCTCAAGTTTTTTAATTTTTGATATGAATTGTGAACGAAGTTCAAATAATGTGGCTGCTTTTAATAACTTAATGTATTCACATAAATCAGCCTTATTCTTTTGAAGATTAGTACATAATTGCTTTTGTATTATTGCATTTGATGAAAGGTTATTAAAAAGTATGGGTTCTGAGGATTCTGGGGGTCTGAGGGTTCTGAAGTTCTAAAAGTTCTGAAGGTTCTGAAGGTTCTGAAGATTCTGGAGGTTATGAAGGATGCTTTGAAGAGTTTTTTATGGATTTATGTTGTGAAAAAAAAGTTGAAAAACGAGATTAAATAGATGTTTGTAGAAATTCAAAAATATAATTTTAAATAAAATCTTTGTTTCTCATTTTCATTTCTTGCCAGCTACTCTGAACTCATTCTTGAAACACTTTCTTGTTCAGCTTTTCATTATGGGTATTTACTATTTCGCAAAATGTAAAGGCATTCATATACTGTTCATAAAGATTTCTAGGCTTTTGAATAATGTAATTTTTAAAATACTTTGGTTCCTTAAAATATGCTTGTTTTATTGTAAAAATCTAACGAAAGAAAAAAAACAATCGCATAATTATCAAAAATTGCATTCACGTAAATTTTTTTTTTAATTCTTTCTCTTGGAAAAAAATCCATTTAAGACCCTCTCTTATCAAACTATCATAGAACGCATGTATTTGTATCAAAAATATACTATTTTAACCCTTAAAATTTCGATATATACCACTATTTTAACGCTGATTTATCTAAAATGGTAAATTTTGTATCACGTCTTTTTATTGTAAGACTTCTCCAAAAATGGTAAATTTTATTGTGTTTTGTTAGAATCCCCAAAAATGGAAAATCAATTTTTGTGTAATATCATTATCTATCATCTTTTTGGAAACAATATTTCGTTCTTTTAGGAAGAATTTCTATCATCTCTTTAAAAATAATATTTCATTCCTTTTGAAATGATTTTTATCGTCTCTTTTGGGATGATTATATTGTTCCTTTTGAGCTGAATGTATTGTTCCTTTGGGAACAATATTTTATTTCTTTAGGGACAATTTCTATTATCTCTTTTGGGATAATTGTATTGTTTCTTTTGAGACAATTTCTATCGTCTTTTTGGAAATAATATTTCATTTCTTTTGAGATGATTTTTATTGTCTCTTTTAGAACGATTGTATCGTTTCTTTGGAGATAAATGTATTATTCCTTTGAGACAATTGTATTATTCCTTTGGGAACAAATGTATTGTTTTTTTGAAACAAATGTATCATCTCTTCAAAACAATTACTTTTAGAATATTTTTATAATTTTCGCAAAAATCAGCTCAGCAGATTTTGACCAGTAAGATATAGTTGATTTGTTGTCAAATCTTGAGTCTAACTGAAATTTTGCTGAATATTATAACTGAAAAGTCTTAATGCCGAAATAATGAAAAATTATATGTGATGTAATAAATAACTATTGATTTTTGTAACTTAAGCGAAATTTTACCAAATCATATGACTGAATCGACTGAATATTAACCAAATGGTATTAGTATCAAATGAAATGATTTCAACTAGTATCTTGGATGGATTTTTAGATAGGCACTGACTTTTTCTTTTTCTTTTTTTTATGATTATAGTAGTCATTAAATATGTATTTAGTGAGTCTGTTGGAGGGAAATGATGATGATAGGTCAATTCAAACGGATTTGTAATATAACTACAAGGGATAGTTAGTACTTTTAGATTAGTTTTTTGTTTTTACTTTTGTACTTACTTTTTATAAAACTAAATAAAGTTATTGGCATTACCACATTGAAAAAAAAATGATTTTAACAAGAACTGGCAACTTTATCTTAGTTGATAACAACTAAGATTTTATTGTAAGTTAAACTGCAATAGATTCTAGTTCAGCCTCTAGTCAAGGCAGATTATAGTATTAATTTACTATAGGATTACCAGTTTAATTTTGAAAATAAATTTCATAAGATATATACAAACCATGTACATTAAAGATCACAAATTTGTAGAATAAGATGATCATTTAATAGTTGTTTACATGAAATTGCTTTATTTATATACCACTCTAATAACAGGTAATGGTAATAAGTAACTAGAAGCACAGTAAACTGATTGAGTTTGGAACCTATGTCAAGAAGCTGGTCTGTAATAAACAAGTGTCACATAATCTGCAAAGGGTACTTATAAGAGTAAAATCAATAGTAGACATTATATAACTTTGATTAAATGGGAACTTTGCATAGAAAGGGAGGAAACTCTAAAAAAATTTTTTTTTGAATTAATATTAAATCTGAACTTATTTTACAAAAAATATCATAAATAGCTTAGAAAGTAAGAATTTAATTTTTTTAGAGTTTCCTCCCTTTATATTGCAAAGCTCTCAAATAATAGTCGCAGATTATAGTAGTTGATATTGCATGTCTTTAACATTGTGATGCTTATATCACAATTAGAGTTTGAAGACTTGAGTTCAATTCTTGTGGTGGTTTAATATATGGCAAGGTAACTATGATGTAGGCTATCATCTTAGATTATTCTTGACTCTCTTTTCAATAATTATAATGAATGTGAATGATGATAGTTACTAAAGTACTCTACTATGAGGTTTAGTGATTTGGCAGTCTATTTAGTAATGACACATATTTACTTAAGTTTAACACAAATACACTGGATTGCAATATACAAAAGAGGGATTATAGTAGTAATTATATATTATAAGTTGTATCATTCTATTGAAGGTATGCAGCTAAACTTTACTATCAGCACTAAAAGCATGATCTATGCTGCATCGATCAAATATAACCAATTATATGATTCGAATCAATTGGCTGATCTAACCAATATAACAAATTAGACAAATTTGACAAATATGACAAATTGGTCATATTTGACTGATCTACTAGATCTATTATATTTATTATATATATTATATTTGTTAGTTTAGATAGATTAGTTATATTATTATATTTATTATATTTATCATATTTTATTTACTATTATTTTACTTTATATAAATACTTTGTATCTTTGACCTACTAAATGGTTGAGTCACTACAATTCTCTAAATAAATCAATACTTTATCTTTAAAACTTATATCTGCTTATTAAACAATTTATTCTTCTTTAAATCTATATCAATAAAGATGACCTGACTCTTCAATTTAATTATACATATTTATTTCTTGCATAGATTAGATGCACTTAAACTTCCTGCTAGCAAATAATCTTTATTAATTTAATAACAAACAGTTAAAGCTTAATAGCGCGTGCCTAGTAAAAGTATCAAAAAAAATAATTTTGATCATTTTAATTATTTTGGATATCTAAAATGATCCATTTTGACTTCATGTATAATTATAATATCTTAAGTAAAGAGTTTGTTGATAAGGTGTTATTCAAAATAGATGAAAAAGCTGATTTTTAATACAATGATAATATATAAACCATATAGGATCACTTTCCTTCATTTTTTGCAACTTTTTAAGAAAATTTAAAGCATCATTTTTAGAATTTTGTTCAGAGTCTATATTATCCTTTCAAAACTATTGAACAGCATTAACCAAATCTCTATCCAAAAAATATGATCTTTAAATTTACCTTGAAAAAGTTGTTTCAATGTATGTTAATTAATCTCATGAATTGTATCCACATAAATTTTGATTTTATTTATTATAATTTAAGGTAACTGTTTATAAATATTGGAAAATTGAATCATTTTAGGATTAAGTGAATGACTATAATGTGTAAGATTCATCTTAGTAATAGATGAATCTTGTGATTTAAGTGGCCAGTATATATTAACAAAATAAGTACATTCTGATTTGATTGATTCTCTTTTATGCTGCTTTATTAGATCAGCAGCTGTTTTTTTGATTTAAATTTTTTTACATATCTACATTCAAAAATATATTTATATACCTTTCTATTTTTATCCAAATACAGTCAAACTTCTATATAACAATACAAATGTTTTGAGAAAAAAATATCAGTATATTAAGTTATTAGTATATTATGTAATGATATTTATATATTATATTGATCAATATTGGTATATAATAATAAGCCAATCAGATTTCAATAATAAATATCTTAAGAAAAAGGTTAATTTTAAAGCAATATTATATAAGAAATCAATTATTAATTTTAAATTTTATTATATTATATTATCCACAATTTTATTCTTTTTCTAATGAATATTTAAACAAAGCAATTGAATAAAAAATTAAGTGACTTTTATTAGAGATAAAAGTGTCTTCGAGGTTTATGAAATGCACGTAAAAAAAATACTTATATTTTACCACAACGCCCTGACCACCATCTCTATAAACTTTGCTTTATTATATAGTTTTTTATTTTGTTTGCATAAACGTTCTTTTTGTTTTAATTTCAAAAATGATTCAAACATGTGATCTCATACAAATAACACATATGTGTATGTTTGTAATCATGATTGAATCATAATCATGTAATATATAAATATATAAATGTTATTATTTTTTTCTTTATGATATTTTTTATACTAAAAAGAAATTTTTTTTGTAAAATTTATATAAACTTTATAAATCATGTAATATTACATATCATTATAAATAGATTTTATATCATTATATGTGAATATCGTTATTAAGGTTTTACAATTCGATTTGATATTTAAATATTCAATTTGAAAATCAAATCAAATACAAATTTAAATTAATAATTGATTCAATTCGATCAAATTCAAATTAAAGAAATTTTATTTGATCAAATACAAATTAATCTTTAAATATTTGATTTGATTTGCA